AAAAGCACACACAACCCGCAATACCTCTATTCGCTCCGACGAAGGGCAAACGCTCGAAACGTCAGCTTTTGTAATCGTTACGGTGGCCAATTTAACATTTCAACTTTGTTGATATATGCAAATTATGTAGACAGTCTAGATTTCCTTCATGAAACATTTTGCCGGCCTCCCGGTTTACCATTGCACATTACGCTGAGCATTTTCACGCAAAGCCGCTACATTGTTTGTATGTACGCTGTACCATTCCACATTACGCTGAGCCTTTTCACGGAACGCTACACCGTTTGTGCGTACGCTGTGCTACTACCTATTATCCTGAGTCATTTGACGCAACACTACACCGTTTGTGTACTGTATTGCAAATGAGTGCTAGACTTTTCACAATTTAGCTGGTCCATTTCACAATTTCATGTTCCAACTCGACATGGGCAACTAGACCGTTTATGATTTGGCTAAACTATTTATGTTTAGGGTGTTCCGTTTCATGAAGGAAATCTAGACTGTCTATAATTTAGCCATGCCATTCCTTTATTAGCTATGCTATCCTGCAGCTGATCCTTAAAACATCTTTGCATTTACTGATCTAATTGACATCCTTCTATTTTTGGCGGTGACGGTAGCCCATAGTATGACCGCGCCTCTCACATTTTCAGGCATCTGAAAGATTCTCCACATCGTCGCGCTTTATGTTCAATAACATCCATATTCTAGATCACGTCTCTACCAGCTTTCAACTTAAGATAAAAGAGGCTATTCACATTCAAATAGAACAACCATCCCTGAATCAAAAATTACACCATTAACGTAACAGCACCGAACTAGCAAAGTACATTTGTACATTTGGCAACTACAAGATAGCGGCGGGGATTACAACATCAAAAAGAACCGCTATCACTAGAGCCAGACCCTCCAACAACAACTCCAAACGATGCGACCTTTGCCTAACAGAAAAATTAATTATAATTAAATCGAACAGCGACAGCCTACTCAACAAAAAATAGGAACTCATCTCCAAATGCCGCCACCAGAACAAATACTACTTGAAAAATAGCCAATTACCACCGAACACCACAGTAGACTAATATTCCTCACACTTTCATGCTTCACCTCATTTCTTGTTATCACTATCATAATTAGCATTGTTCTTTTTACTATTTACTGTTAATTCAACTTCCACCGCTTTGTACAGTTATTAACTGAAGATGACAGAAGTTGGCCCAAACATGTTTTACAGACTCAAAAGTTTTGTCGCTTTCTTTAGGTTTAAGATCTTGCCCCAATTTCTTGCTCACGAAAACTGGCTTCAAAGCAGGGCCAATCTTATAGCTAAGATCACGTAACTGCTTCCGGACCGCATTAGCGGCCTCTTGATCTTAAATGGAAGACTAATTCTTGCCATGCTACTTTCGTCATTGTTTCTCTCTGTTTTGTTCGCTTAAGTATTTCGAGTTTCCAGTTTTCGTGAGCAAGAAATTGGGGCGATATCTTAAACCCAAAGAAATTAAGCCGTCAATTGTTAATAGGCAGTGTTGTTTATCTTTTTTCATGTGATCTGTTTGACGCAGATTATGTCGGATACACAGCCCGACACCTTCATCAACGCATTGCTGAGGACAAAAATTCGGCAATCGGTAGACACTTCTTAGAAACTCACGCTAACAGCAACCTCTTGAAAGAAAACCAATTCACAGTTTTAAGAAAGTGCCAGGGCAAATTTGATTGTTTACTATTTGAAATGCTCTTCATCAAGAATCTTAAGCCTAATTCATATATCCAGACGGACTCCATACGTACGAAACTTTTTGTTTCATATTTTTATCTTTTTCTCACGTTACAGCTTTTAATCAGCAATTGACTTTTTAGTATTTATAGACTGAACTCACAAACGTAGAAACGTCGTCGTCTTTTAGCAATTTTGTCATTTTAAAATGATATTAATCGTTTTATCACAATTTTTTATCGTTAAATGCTTTTCAAAATCACTTCTTGTTCGTATGCTCTCCAAAAAACCAACCAAATTCCCTTCATCAGTGTTGATGTCATAAATTTCCTGGTTCAAATTTAGAAGGCAATGGGAAATGGCGGTAGCCGTAGGTGGAGCAGGCCAGCCTCTAAGGCTAAAATATCAATAGGAACATTGGGGTAAACGCAATGTTGGTCAAAAACTTCAATGGACGCTCTTATTTTCTCAGGCTGGATATTACTTACGTCAGTTTCAGTCAAACTAAGTTTAAGTTGAAATTGAATAACAAGGGTGAACGCAACGCTCGGTCAATTAATTCAATAAACATTTCCTCCGCCCGAATATTGCTAACGTAAATTTCAGTTAAACTGAGTATTCTCAATGACGGCGTTTCCGGAAGCAAACGACAGAGAGCTGTGGCCACTGCTGGAGTCAGAGTGATTCCCTGCAGGTCTAGTTCCTTAAGAGTTGCACGAGTTACACTAGTCAACAGTGTCTCCACAGCTGCCGCAGAGCAATTATTGACGTCAAGCGCAAAACGTTCGATCCGGGTAAACGGCCGAAGCGACCGGGAAAGTTTTTCTACTTTAGCAGTTGTCAGTCGATACTCTTCATAATCTTCTTCGTCTATTCTTGGAAGACTTACCTTCAAAAGGCAGTTGTTTGGGTTTGGTACAGATTGCATCACATCACAGAACATATCACAGAATTGAAAACTTTTGTCTCCACTCAGAATATCACATTCCAAAACTCTTAAGAATTGTAAACATGATTGTTCGGAAGACCAGTCTCTAGAACGAGATTGTGCAGAAGACGCTGTAGTACCAATAAATAGTTTAGCATGGTGATTACATCTCAGTATTAACTCTGTTACGTAAAACTGATACTGTCCTTTGTGAAAACAAAGGATGAAATTGAAAGTGCACGAACAGTCTATTTCTTTCAGACCCTCCTCAAGAAAGTCCTTCAGTGTGATAGATTCAGCGCTCTCGCCTATCTTCACTATTGTGTCTCCGCAATCCAAATAGTTCGTTAAAAAAGAAAGCTTTAGTAGATTGTCTGGGTAAGCAACTACTAATTGTTGAAAACTCCAAGAAAAATCAAATTTAACATCTGAATGTATCAACGGACTGATATTATGATCCATCTTCATCTTTTCTAGAATTGATAAAAGAAAGCTGATTACCCGGACGACTCGTCCAAAGCAATCAAAAAAGAGATCTAACAGCTCAGCTTTCGACTGAACTTCCTCAAAGCAGTTGTTAAGAAGGTAGTTAAACTTCTCATGATCCAAGGTGATATCAGGCTGTGATTTGCATGTCTCTTCTTGAAAATCAGGTACTAACCTTGAATAGTCCACCTCTGGATTAGAGATTCTGACTGACTTCACGTGTTCAAGGATCTTACCTGCTCCCTCGTCAGACAAACCACAAATAAACTGAAACACAGGCTTGAACTCTTTACACCTTTCCCAGTTGCTAACATGTTCTTCAATTCCTCCCAGATTTCCTTCAGGGACACATCTGTTGGTGACGTACCATGCCGCTAAATACTCCTGGATGCTCTTGTGAATAAATGACACTATTCTTTTTGGTTCAACACTCGGTCCGTGCTCGGATAACTGAAGAAGACCAGCTAGGACACTTTTCTCTCCACGAACTGCCGCAGACAATTTATCATACTCAAAGACCAGATCTCCCTTCAGTAGGCCCTCCAAAGCAACTTTCCCTATCTCAGCCAGAATATCTTGGTAATACTCTTCTTTCACCATAGAGGCCTGGGGCGGAGAACGCCTCCTGCGACTATGCTGTAAAATGAATCTAACAATTGCTTGATACAGTTTAGTTTTACTTTTGGTTCCATCCTTCAGTTTCTCCTTTTCTTCCTCCCATAGCAAGCAGAAAAAAAGATTCAGTAACGGAACCCTCGCTAGGTCTTCCATATCCTCATACTCAAGGAAATTGAACAGCTCGCTCACTTCTGCTTCGTTTTTCAATATTTTCATCATATAGACCTTCCTGTCCGACAAATTGAACCCAGTTACCTCTGCTTGAATGTCAGCAGAACCTTCCAACTCGTCAGATCTTGATGATCGAGTGGTTACCATGACAGTACAGTCCCTCAGATTGGATCAGTGAAATATTTGGTAAACTGGTGAGTCCCTTCTGCTGACATACTGTTCATCTCCTTTGCTTCCAGTGCGATACTCGTCGTAGCCATCAAATACCAGCAAAATTTTCTCTTCGTTCGTTAGGATGTAACTGGAAAGATCATCAATGGATTTATTGTCTTCTGGAAAAAGACTAGAACTACATAGGACTTCTGTAAAAGTCTGGCACTGGGAGACTTCTTTGAGATCAACAGCAAGAACAAGGTCAAACCTCCTCAGCGCATTTTTCTGTTCCTCGTCCAGCTGTGCCTCATCAAGATTTGATAAATCCAACAGCATTTTTTTAACGAAAGTTGTCTTTCCAATTCCGGTGTCTCCTTGCACAAGAATTCTCTTCTTTGGAGCTCCGCTATTAGATTTCTCAGTAAACATTTCAGTGTAATGACCCATTTCCTTTCCTGATACTCCAGCCCTGGTTTGTTCTCCTTTTACCAAAGACAGTCGATTGTAGATGTCATCAAGATTCTCCTGAATCGTCGAAGACCACACAGTAGTGGGTATCTTGGCTGTTCTCTGATAATGCTCTGCAAGCTTCCTCTGGCAAGTCTTCAGATCAAAACTGTTTACTGCACAAACTTCTGAGCAGAGGACAAAGAAAAGAGGATCATCAACACAGCGCAGTCAACATCTTGGTTTCCACATCAATTTAGAAGGAATAAAAATATAAACAAAATGATGCCTAAATTCATTTTCCTATCCTCACAGAGATCTTACAAGTCATTTCTTGAGAAAAACAGCACTTTCGGTTCAAGAATTTTAAAATGGCTCACTAACCAGCTTCTTAGTAACCGAGTGTACTGAGGAATAGTGGCCCGAGGTTGTGCCAGCACGGACAGAGCGCAGGGCGGTCAGTAAAAAAACGACCGAGGGCCAATATTACCCAGTACAGTTCGAGCAAGCGATGCTGGTAAGGAATACTATAGTTACTGTGTGGCACTCGCACCAAACTTCTTTAGTACGAATTTGCTGGCTTCGCAAACATATGTACAGGGCCTATGACCACTTCCGTGGTAACGATCCATATGGCAAAATACGGACCAAGTAAGAACCGACTCAGAACGCTCGGATGTAGTACCTTAGGACTACCTTGCCATATAATAAATACTCCTTATTCGATGGTTTACTGTATAACACGCGCGGACATTTTGCGAGTTGCGTGATATTTTTCCGAACCCCGAAGGAGCAAGGAAAAATACCAATAATAAGCAAAATGTCCGCTCGTATTATATTTAAACACGAAGGCGCGCTCTAAAAGGAACCTTAGCTTCGGTCTCTTAAACAAGAACGCGCACTATATAAGAAGTCTTCACTGGGAAGACCTCGGCTCATTTGTCACTCACAGTTGACGTGTGCGGGTCAAGTTTAAATGCTGGTAGACGAACAAAAGGAGCCAATGAGATATCTATTGTTTACTTCCACCAGCATGGTGGCACGAGGTAATGTGCGAACCACCTACTTTGATCTCAAATTTACCGCCACAAATAAAGACAGTTTCCAGTGGAGAAAGGAAAAACAAATCTCAAAAATTCTTGTATTGTGATGAAGACATAAAACAATTTCGAGGAATGCGCCCGCTGTTCAATGGTTTGGAGTAGCTGTAGCTCAAGCTGACTTGACTCTAAGAGTTCTACATTACGACGGTTGATTGACAAATGGTCCAGTGGGCCCTAAGGCTCCTTTTATAGCGCGCCTTCGTGTTTAAGCTCATCTTTAAATTTTCTAAAATCTTGACGAAATATCTGATCACAGGAGCTCCTACTGATTAGGAAAATGATATAAAAAAGCNGGTAGGATTGTTCAGTTCGGCCATTTTGTTGCTCCGTATTTTAGTCCTGTTTTAAAGTGTTACACCTTAGCATATTTTGCGCGTTCTCGTGACCTTATTTGGCAAAAAAAACGAGGTAGTGGAAAAAAAAGATATAAATCCGAAAGATCAAATTTCAGTTAATAATGGTAATTGAATTGATTTGAGACCAAAATTGGTAATTGAATAATAATGAATTTGATTTGAGACCAAAATTGCACGCCCCAATTTCAATTAGGACGTTATTACATTCATTCTGAACCGCAAAATTTAATCGCCCGATAGGGGATCTTATTTAGTATTTAGTCGGTATATTGTTTCAGTACTGGGCCGATTTGTGAGAAAAAGAAAGAGAGTTTACGGTAAAAAGTTTCAAAATTTGCCTAAAAATGCCATTTTCCCTTTCTAGCACTGAAACATGATCTTGTTTATTATGTTGCATCCTGATTAGCTGGAAAAGATGCGATTTATGGCAATTACAACAAATCGTGAATATCTCGCACTGCTGAGAGCCAAGCGGATTGCAAGAACCACTAGTGAATTGAAAGTTGATTGAGTTTTAAACACTTTTTGTTTAACAAGGTTACGTGAAGATAATTTTAATCGGTCAATTATTGTAAAAAAAAAAATTATAACAAATCCGTAAACAAATAAATTTTTGTGTAGGGGAGGGGATGGGAGATTAGAATAGTTACCTTGATTGAAATGTGACCATTCTTGGAATACAACAGGATCGCTTAAAATTTTCGCGACAACAGAAGCTGCCATGACACTGGCGAAATCTCTCCACTCACCACCTAAAGTCTGATTAGCGCCTACATAGTCTTTGATGCCCTTTATGATGATCCATTCTGTGTTTAAACCATGTGCAGCTGCAAATACACCTGTAAAATTGATGATAATTTTAATAACCATAGTTATCCGACTGTCCTTTTTTCTGATGGACTTGCCTAATACTAAGATTTACAAATGCTGGAGAGGTTAAGGAAAAATATTTCCATAGTTTCTAACAACTCATGGTTTGATAAATAATTACCGATATAAGATACTTTTAACGTTTGAGTTTGACATTCAGCTGTCGCTAGAAGATTTAGATCTGTATACTAACATCTTGTTAGTTAAGTGGATGAGCTGCAGGTAGATTCGTCAACATTCAGAAACAAAAATGTAGAGAAAATGAGGCTAAACGTCTCCTTTTTCAACTTAAAGCTTTTTTATCCAACCCTTACTGCCCCCTTTCTATTTTTCCGTGTTATTTTCCCTCATAAAACATATTCACATAGATTTAGGTGAGAAATATGAAACTGAATTGACTAGGGAAGAGGTGAAAAGTTCTCTTTATTTAGAAATAGTAACATTTGGAGTAGCAAAGCTATCTTATGCCTTTGAACAATTGTCTCAATAGGTTTTGTTTGGGATGGCAGCCGGTTTGAAAATGCTGATGAGCTCTGAGGAACATTTGGAAGCTGCATGTTAGTCAATTAGTCAACACTGTTATATTTGGTGCTTTAGATAGTAAAAAAAGAGTTTATCCATTTACATACAACAGCTTCACACTAAAGTGAACTAAATTGACAAAGAAAAAGGGCACTAAACCTTTTCATTTCCACAGTCTCAAACGCACAGATTCTTTGTCAAAGCATCAAAATATCTTTAGCTGTGCATAACCATCCAAACTCCAGAAAAAACTTAAGTCTCTTTTGAGGAGACAAGAGGGGGCATTTGACCAAACCGTACAATGTCCAAGCACAAATCTATATTACTTCTAATACATGCTACCCAGTTTATAAGATACAAGACTGTGCTCTAGGAAAAATTGAAGGGAGCCCAGTGCTCTGAAACTGTGAAATCCAGGGTCCTAAGCATATGCTTTTTGTAAAAAAAACTAAGATTTCCGAGTCACCCAAGAGCAAAAGTAAGGCACCAGGGGCCACTGGGTACTGCTGGACCACAGCCCTGTGATATAACTAGCAATAGCAGCATATAACTTTAGTCTCTGACCTTCCCCTTCCATTTCTACCGCTACTGCTTTGGGATTTTGCTTCCACATAATCTCTTCACGAATTGCATCTGACTGACTGCTCAGAATCTCACCATTAGAATGTACTTTTACTTTCCGAGAATTTGGGTCTGCTATTGGGGGATTCCAGCCATCAGCTGCATGTTTGATGAGGTTGTTAAAATGTCTGCTTGGAGGAGTTTTGTAACCACCTGTTGTTAACTTTGAGGACACTACCACATCTCCTAACCTGGCTTTTTGGCGATTTAAACCACTGCACGCACCAACTGAAAATACAGCCTTGGGTCTCAGGGCCCTGACTGCATCTTTCACAACAGTTAAAGACCCACCAGGAACTGCAGCACCACTACAACACTTCACCAATGCAACCTTTAAATCTCCACTGAGTCTTAAGTAGAAATAACCAATATCACTGTGGTAGCTCTTGAAGGGTTTATCAAGGTAGTGATAACAGGCTAGGAACTCACTGTCCTCCACTACCAACAAGAGAATATCAATTGGAAGCTTCTTGGAAACATCTTCCCACTTCATAGTGCATTTTGGAGGAAGATCACTTTGCTTTGGAAGACGAAAACTTAGTGGGGGTGGGTTCACATTGTCTGAAACTGGAAGAATGAAAGTAAATTGAGGAAGCCATTTTAGTCTTAAAATTTACAAACATTATGTTAAAAATGCCAACAATCACATTACCAGTAAACTGTGTGGAAGATAAATAAATCCAACAACTAAAGAAAGTCAATCCTCAATATTAATTGTCTGATAGTAAACTGTCACTTATCTTTAAATAAGGATCATTTGTTGATGATTAATTAATATGAATAGTGTGAAACCCTTGAATTTTTAATGATAAGCATTCAACTTGAGCAAAATGCTCCCCTAAAAATTTACAGATTGACATTTACAGAGCCTTTTGGATATTTCAAAAGATACTAAAGCTTTAAAAGCATACATGCATATGAACTGCAACATCCTTCGTTGCCTCTGAAGATAAAGAGAAAAGCCCGTAAAGAAAGCACCTGGGGCTGAGGAGGTTGTCATGTCATATTTAAGTTTCCCATTCTCTGTGTAATCTTTTTGCCATTCACTAAATCCCTAATTTATTGACCAAGCTTGCTTCACTTTGTCAAGATACTTGTTCTCTTCTCTGTGTTTTTATAGAAGTGCAGTTACAGAACAAGGCTAATTCCCAGCCATCTTTGGTCAGAAAGCCAATCATAACACCAACTCAATCATTTAATCTAAAGACTTACTCTGGTGTATATAAAAGAAAATGTATGGCAGTTACAAAGGACTACTGAGTTAGGGCCAATTTGACTCATATTTAAATGAAAACATTTCTTCATAAAAATTGTAATAGATTAACCCTTTAACTCCAAAAATCTGATTGTTAATTCTCCCCTCGGGCTGCTAGACATTTCCTTGTAAATTAGTGATGAGAAGTTGGTGTTAGATCAGGATAACAATTTCTACCCCTGATAAGTTTGAGTATTCTCATTAGCTGTTTGCTGGGTAATCTATGGATATTATAAGGAGAATTTACTTGTTAATCATTTGTGGGAATTAAAGGATTAAGAGTTGTCACAAACCTGAGGAGTCCACTGTAGTTGATGTAAGTTTGGTTTGCTTAGGATCCTGGCCACTCCAACCAGGAGACATTCTTTTCCTTTTTCCTCCTGAAATCAAGAGGTGACCACTGTTACTCAATACTAACAGCAACAAAAAGAAAGTCAGATAAACAAATCTAAACTAGAATAATTTTCACTGGTGTTTGAGATGCCCAATATATACCCTGCAGAATGCAGAAGGGGCAATCTACAAATTGAAAAGAATAAGTGCCTGCTTCTTTTCTAATGCCAGTTTTCCAGGGCCAGTTGGAATTTTGATGGGTTTGATTTTGTGGTGGTGAAAAACCTGGAAAAAGCCAGGAGCAAACCCTGGAGAGAAAAGCACAAAAAAATCAAACTAAGTTGTGACTTAATTTGATGTAGCAGTATATCTTTCTAAAAAATAATGTTTCAAAATCATATAGTTTTCTTAACTCAAATCATGTGGTTATTTGACAAATCATCCTTTAAGGCCTATTAAGCAAAATCGCACAATATTATGAAAATGGTAAACTTCCTTTTCTAGACTGTCTGGTAAGCCATGACGACAACTCATTATGGACAACACTTTACAGGAAACTGACACACACCGACAGATTATTAGACAAATGCAAAATCGCATAATGTTATAGAAAATGGCAAACTTCCTTTTCTAGACTATCTGGTAAGCCCTGACGACAACTCACTACGGATGACAGATTACAGGAAACCAACACACACTGACAGATTATTAGACAAGTCATCCTACAACCCTACATCACACAATAATTACTACGGTAACCTCATTATTCTTATCAACATCCATAAAGCCAGGTCTGGTGGGTTGTATTCTTTTACCTGACTTTGGACAACCACCAACTCTTGACCAAGAAGATCTATTGCAAAGCACAGGATGAAATGTTCTCTGAGGTGCACTCACTCTTCTTAATAAAGGAACAGCTGGCCTTGCTGGAAAATTGACAGGTCTGCATAACCCAGTTGAAGTGTTAACAGTTGACTCCCCCAAGGTCTGGCTCTCCCCTCTGTTGTCGGTAGGTAGCTGTGGTGATCTGTTCACACCAGATGTCATTTGTGAGCTTCTAATGTCAAATCCAGTGAGAGAGGGCATAGAAGGTGGCAATGAATAATTTGCATTCCGTGAAGAAGAAGCTGAAGAACTGAATTGTGCAAAGGAAGTTGATGGCGTACAACTGTCTTGTGACAGAGGAAAGGAAGAACTATATTCACCAATCATGTTGATAACAGTAGACTCCCCTTGTGTATAGCCACTATAGTCCATTGGCAGCTGTGATCTTATCTTCACACCAGGTGAAAAGTCAAAGTCACATCTGAGGGGGAAGTTCATGCCAGGGGAATGTGAATACTCATTAACTCTTGATAAATGAGTTGAAGCACTATATTGTGCAAAAAGACCTATTAATCCATGTGGATTCTCTCTAGACAAGGGAACATCTTGAGGTCCAAACATCATGGTCACATCGGTGACAGCTGAATCACCTACTGTCTGATCATCTCTCCTGTCATTCATGGATAATTGTGGTGGAATGTTCGCACCAGATGTCAACCTTGGCCCTCTGAAGTCAAAACTAGGGAGGAAGCTAATGTCAGGTGACTGAGAAGAATCACAGATGCTTGATAAAGAGGTGAAAGATCTTTCTGATTCAAAACAAGCTGATGCAGTTGAGTTGTGATTTAGTAGATGACCATCTTCTAGTCCAAATGTGTAAGTCATGTTGTTCAAAGTTGACCCATCCATTGTCTGACTCTCCCTCGTGTTGTCCATTGGTAGCTGTGTTGGTATGGTCAACCCAGGTGTCAAGTGTGAGCCTTCAAAATGAGGTCTCGTGAAAACATCCACAGAACTTGACTGTGAATATTCAGTAACACTTGACAAAGCTGTAGAATTATTTGGTACAGAAAAATCTGATGAAGGTGAAACGTCTTGTGAAATAGGAAGATTAGACTGTCTGAAAGAGGCAGCACTTGTTGTGTTGTTGATGGTCAATTCCTCTGATGTCCAATTCTCCCTTCTACTGTCCATGTGGACAACACTGGTATGTTCCTACCAGATATTAGCTGAGATTGAAACTTCTATCACTAGAGAGCAAATAACACTTTAGGGAACAGTCTAATTAGAGCAAAGAATTATTTAGAATTGACATTTCAATAACAGATATTTATCATAAATTACATCACAAAAGGATGAAGGAATTATTCCCTTTCTCCTCAATTGCATTAGTCAGGTAAAAACAACAACAAATAGATAATATCCACTGGAAAGATTTCCGTATAACCCCATACCAATCAAAAACAAAGCCGAAGTCCCAAAGGTAATCTGCTGTTTTGCCTCTGTTTTCTTTTATCCAAAGAATTGTACGCATAATGAAGTATGGGGTTATACGGAACTCTTGCCTATCCACTGAGGAAAACCTCAACAAGTTGAAATAATTCGATTTGGTAAAGGCCATTCATGATATGAAATTCCTTTCCCGTAAAGCTCAAACAACAAATGACATGATTTCTGCGGGATTTTGAAGATCGACACCAGCTCACGAAATAAAAATCCTTCGACTTGTTGTGCTATGGTCCATGATGCTTTTATCGTGATATTTTCCGATTCACAAGGGAAATGTTTCGTTGAGTAAAAACGGAAAACTTACCATATAGGAGAACTTTACGACAGCAAAGTCAATAATTTTTCAGTCCAACATGCTGCAAAGGCGGAAGTGAGCTGTATAATTTCCTTACTGAACAACGACGTCAATGAATCTACAGCAAAACTTTACAGATATCTATGGTGCATGTGGATGTACCTGGAAGCTTTCTGTTTGATCATTAAATGATAAGAGAAAGTGATTATTTTGCTCTTAATCGACTGGCTATCACTATAGCGCTAGGCATACAACAGCAACAAGAAGAAGAAAAGTGAGCGAACGAAGCATGATGCAATAGTAGTCTTCGATCTGCTACGGTCACAATATTGTCATGTGATTTCTGTCAGAAGTCATCAACAACTCTCGTTTAGACTTGCAACGCAATACTTTCCATATAAAGGAGCAGACCTAATAAAGGGGAGAGCATGTTGCGTGACACTCTCACACAACAGATGAATACAAAGTAATCTGTATATACATGTAAGCCATGTTCGTTTCACTGAATTCTGTTCAGCAGCATTCAATTTTCTTGGCCTGTGATGTAGCTCAATAAATAAAGCAGGCTTTCGCCGTTTCCATCGGCAGCGTTTAAATAAAGCAGGCTTTCGCCGTTTCCATCGGCAGCGTTTTAAATTTTCTCCGGTTCTTATTGGTTTAAATCGATCAAGTGACGCGATAGTATTCATCCGTGGAGAGACGCTGTCAGCCAGCAATGGGGCATTCTGTCTACGCATGCGTTAAATCTTTTGGAATGAAAAAATCCTGGCGCCATTTTGATTTCTCGAGCTTGCGATGGGGGGTTTCTCT